GCTTTTTCCAAGTTCTTTTTTTCTGTCTTGTTTGCCTGTTTTGTTGTTTCTATCTTTCATGTTGGAGGGGCTTCCTTCAAATGTATTACAGTCTTTGCCTGTCTGCTTACATAAGAAAGGGTCACACGCCGTATGATTCCATTTATACAAAATGTCCAGAATAGGCATATTTATAGAGATAGTAAGTTGATTGGCAGTTTCCAGGGGCTGGAGGGAACGGGGAGTGACTGATAGCAGGTATGGCTTTTTTCCTTTGGAATGGGTGATGAAAATAGTCTGAAATTAGATAGAGGTAATGATTGTACAACTTAGTGAATGTTCTACAAACCTCTGAACTACTTACTCTAAAAGGGTGGACTTTAAGGTATGTGAACGATATCTTAAAGCTGTTATCAAATATAAAGAAGTAACAGTGGCTTAAAAAAATGATGCACTGCCCTTCACCTCCTGTTTTCCAGTCCACACCTAAAATGCAGCCTTCCTCTCAGCCTGTGCTTCCAAACTCTTAGCCTCTTTGGTTTGACATCTTCAGATACTCCTTGAAAATTGAAAGTCTTCTAGGGCAGGGATCCCAAAGTTTGGCCAAGGGAATATACCATCGTCATAAGTTTTACCATTTTAGCACATTACCTATATTATTATTAACATGACATTAAAAAAAATTAACTCGGACTTAACATTAATGCCTACTTCACTATTACCTAGGAAGTAAATACCCCTGAAACCATAGATTTGATGTGCTAGTGTGGAGGTTTAAAAATATGTCCATACATTTTTGACATACCTCCCTTTAAAAGGTGTAGGCTAATTTCCCTATCCTTGCGTGTAGGGGAGAGTTGGCAACTGACTTTTAAGGAACAGAATAGGTAAGTGACAGTGTGTGCTTCAAAGACTAGATCAGAAAGGGCACAGTGACTTCCTCCTTGTTCTCTCTCTCAACTACAAACTCTGGGAAAAGCTGGATAATACAACATGAGAGCAATCGACTAGCCATATAGAGAGGTCCATATGCGGCAGACCGGAGGCCTCCTCTCAGTGGCCGTGTGAGTAACCATCTTGGAAGTAGCTCATGAGCCCCAGTGAAGGCTTCAGATGACTGCAGCCCGGTCAACATCTTAGCCTTATGAAGGTTTCTGAGCCAGAACTGCCCGGCTAAGCTGCTCCCAAATTTCTGACCTACATAAATTATGAGATAATAAATGTTTGTTGTTTTAGCCACTAAGTTTTGGAGTAATCTTTTATACAATAATAGATAATTGTCTTAGTCAGTTTGGGCTGTTATAACAAAAATACCATACACGGGCGGCTTAAACAACAAACATTTATTTCTCACAGTGATGGAGGCTGGGAAGTCTGAGATCAAGGCTCTGGCAGATTTGGTGTCTGGGGAGGGCCGCTCCCTGGTTCATAGATGGTTGTCTTCTCACTGTGTCCTCACAGGGCAGAGAGAGAAAGAGAGAGCTCTGGGTTCTTCCTCCTTATAAGGGCTCCAATCCCTTGATGGGGGCTCCACCCCATGACCTCATCCAAACCTGATTACCTCCCAAAGCCCTACCTGCAAATACCATCACTTTAAGGACGAGGCTTCAACATATGAATGGAGGGGAAGGGGCACAAGCATTCAGTCCACAGCAATAATTAATACTTCTAGTTATATGTTTCTCTAGTACACATTACGTAGTATAATCAAATGGCTTTTTCCAACAGGGGTTATACAAGAGAATCAAGCAGAAAATTATTGGAGTGGCTATTTTTCTGAAGTCACTAGGATGTATGCTGTGTACCCAAGGACGATACACAGCTACAGCTGTTCTGGGTGCATGGTGAGAAGATAATTCATTACACACGATGGACGCCCTGGAGCACTAGGGGGTTTTTTGTTTGTTTTTTTTTAAAGAGTGCCACCTGAGCTAACATCTGTCGCCAATCTTCTTTTTTTTTTTTTCCTTCTTCTTCTCCTCAAAGCCCCCCAGTACGTAGTTGTATATTCTAGTTGTAGGTCCTTCTGGCTCTGTTATGTGGGACGCCGCCTCAGCGTGGCCTGATGCGCAGTGACACATCCGCACCCAGGAGCTGAACCAGCCAAACCCAGGGCCACCTAAGCAGAGTGTGAACTTAACCACCCAGCCATGGGGCCAGCCCTAGAGTTTGATTCTCTCAGTGAACCCGGTTGAGAAGAGCTGGAGGGGGTTAACCACATAGACACTGGAGCTAGGCTACAGACCCAGGCTTTACCTGTAACTTCCTAAATCACCAAGGACAAATCACTTGATCTCCTTAGTCTCCTCTGTAACAGGGGACGGTAGTATCACCTACCATCTTCCTAGAGTTGTCAGGAGGATTAAATGAGTTAATACACATAAGGCACAATGTCTTGTGCATAGTAAACGTTAGTTAAATGTAAATTACTTTATTATAAACAACTAACTATTAAAAGAACAAGTGTTTGTTAATATAGCGCCTATGCCCATCTTGCATTATATTAGCGGTGTATATTCTACGCTAACCCAGGTGGTGAATGATTCCCTTTCCCCCACTGCCACTCCTCTTGAGTGAGCTTCTTCAAAAAGCTGATTAAACCTTCCAAGCAGCTAGAATACAACTCAATAAGAAACTGCTTCTGCTCAGGCAGCCTCAGTGACTGTGATCCCCAGCCTGCAGGGGTCAGTGGGGAGAATCACGGGTCAGCAGTGTGCAGTGAGGAAGGGGGAACATAAGAGAGCCTGGCACTTAGAATTTCTCACGGACCCCAAATGTGCTCCCGGGCAGAGAAGAAGCGCAAAATATTTACCTCTTTCTGTCTTTGTTTCTCCTTGGCGCTGCTTTTGAACTTTCAATGAAGTAGAAGTTAAACTCCAAACTGAGTGGAGCTTCTAAACTTTGGTTTGGAGCACGGGTTCATTATAAGCTTCAAGGAGAGACTGGTGCATTGCTGACAGCCTGACTCCTGGAGAGCAGTTTTATACACAGGGAGAGTCTGACCCAAGGGTTTTACTATAACAGCTCTTCTGCATTAAATGAACCTAGTTATCTGTAATGGAAGAATAATCCTGTGATTTAACTGCTGATAATACTTGTTCTGTGGATGAGAGCTATGTTACAACTGTGTTTGAAAAGAATTTTAAACTAACCCTACTGTGGGCAGGGCCCTCGGTGGGCACTGGAGTGCTAGTGTGAAGGGAGAAACTGTGTGTAAGAAGCATGTGATGTTTTTGCAGTGGTTTGAGGGCTGGGTTCGGTAATTATACTCTCGAATGCGAAAATCCAATGTGGCATAATGAAAAACACACCTCTGTTCTGCTTCCAAAACTAATTCCAAATACAGGACAGTCTTTGCCCGGGCTGACTGTGTTCCATAAAGCGTGCACGCCCTCCACTTCTGTGTCTCTAAGAGCACCTGGACAAAAATAAGACGCCAGAAGAACACGCGCGCCTCCTCCCTTTTGTTCCTGTTCGCTCTTTTCCTCTAAGCTGCCCTTCTCATCACCCTGACTGCTCAGTTGACTTATTTGAAAACACACACAAAACCAGTCTTAATAGAAGAGAAAAGGAGTCATGTGGGTAGCAAATCAACTGTGAAGTTCAGTCACTGTTACAGTAAAATATTGTTTCTTAAAGTACCCTGCAGTTGTCAGAAGGGTACTTTGTATTGGGTAGGAATAAAAAGCCAGCAAAGATTACAGAGTTCAGTGTGAAAGCCCTTTTTAGCCACAAAATTCTCATCCAAGCCTCCCCTGCTACGTTGGATATTTGACTACAGAACACAAAAGAACCAACATTCACCCCATGGATTTTGAACCACACATGACGGACATTCATAGCATCTGTCTTCCCTTGTCTAATGGAATTTGCTGATCAAGAAAGGGGAGACATTTTCAGTCTTTCTGTGGGAGCACCAATGGGTATAAAAATATCGGGACCTTGAGCCAGATGGCCTAGTGGTTAAGGTTCGGTGCTCTCACTGCTTCAGTGGCCTGGATTCGCTTCCCAGTCACAGAACCACACCACCTGTCTGTCAGTTGACATGCCATGCGGCTCACATAGAAAGAACTGGAAGATCTTACAACTAGGATATACAACCATGCACTGGGGCTTTGGGGAGAAGAAAACAAAAGAGGAAGATTTGCAACAGATGTTAGTTCAGGGCAAATCTTTCCCTGCCCCCTCCCCCCAAAAAAAGACCTCCCCTTAGCTGCCTGCACGAGGGGCTTATATTAGTCGCTGTTTATGTTATGCCGAGACCTTACCAGCTAGTGATGGAGCATCATTCTCTTTATGGGTACACAACGGAGAAGTTTTTCTCAGAACATGGTATCAGGATTGACTGTAGTTTGCATGAGCAGCTCTCACGAAAAGGTTTCTCTCCTTTTGCTTTTGATGCTGGGCAGCTCAGCCAAGTGCCTGCCCTTCTTTCACAAGTGCTACCACACATTTAGAGATGCATTTTGCCACATGATGTTATCCCAGGTTTTGGCTTCTTTGTCCTACTCGGATTTTCCCTTTTCCATAATTTCTTCACCTACTCTTTTTATCTTGCACTATATTTTTGCACGGAAGCAATCTCAAATCCCCGTTTGGGATAAGGCACGGTTTAAATTTCCAAATAAAGTGTCTAAAAAAAGAAGTGACTATATTCCTTCAGCAGTTATGCTGACCAGAGAAGAACCATTGCTTCCTTCACCATGTGACACATTTCAGAAGGTATCAGCCTGAGGGACTGAACTTCTCACCACTGCTAGGGGTCCACACATGGCTGACAGGCTGCCACACCTGCTTTCTTGACACTGCAGGACACAGGCCCCATGACCTAAGTCACAATGGTGGAACTTAGCCTGGCTTCAGCACCCAACAAAGACTCAGTCATAGGATCTCGGTGAGTACAGGGTAGCTATATTGAAGACAACATCCTGGATATATTTTGGTTTATCTTTTCTTTTTTTGTCATAACAACTGTTGCCATTAACTGAATTCTTACTGTGGTTTAAATCCTTTTTTTCCTCAAAAGTATGGAATGCTTTTACAAATTTGCATGTCATCCTTGCGCAGGAGCCATACTAATCTCTGTATCTTTCCCATTGCAGTATACGCGCTGCCGAAGCAAGCACTGTTTTGCTTTATCTTAGACATTCCTAGCAGGTTCTATCATCAAGAATTTGTTTTGCAACTACAGTTCCCTTTGGTGCGGTTGGTTACTTTGTTCCTGGTTGGGTCTTGATAGGATGAAGGAGCCCCTTAACCCCACACTCCCTCGCCCACACTTCCCTTACCTCTTAACCTCTAATTGAATTAGAAGGTTTTTTGGCTCTTCTTGAGCATCACCTCCAAACCAAAACCATAAAAAGACAGCTATAAGGCCCAAACCAAACCAAACACAACTGCACAGAAAACCAAACTCCTCTGTAACCACCAGCAGCACTGTAATAAATAAAGTTAAAGACAAATAATAAAATGAGAAAAATATCTGCAATATACAACCACAGGTCAATTTTGTTAATGTATAAATACTTCTTAAGAGTCAATAAGATAAAAAACAAAACCCCAGAAGAAAAATGAAGTAAAGGCATGAACAAGCAGTTGACTAAGAAGAAATACAAACAGACAAAAAAGTATGAAAAAGATATTTAATCTTACTATTATTTAAAACTGTAAATTAAGACTGTATTGAGAATTTTTTGTTTATCAGATTGGGGAAAAAAGTAAAAAGCATTATAAAACTTGATGGGGGGCCAGCCCAGTGGCATAGTGATTAAGTTTGGTGCGCTCTGCTTCAGCAGCCTGGGGTTCACAGGATCAGATCCTGGGCGTGGAGCTACATCACTCATCAAGCCACGCTGTGGCAGGTGTCCCACACACAAAATAGAGGAACATTGGCACAGATGTTAGCTCAGGGCCAAACTTCCTCACCAAAAACAAATAAATAAATAAAACGTGATAGGAATGTGGTTGAATTTTCCTGAACAAAAAAAAAAACAACTGATGATGAAGATGAAAAGCCTGTAAAATGTGCTTAACTAACTCTCACACAGATCCATAAGGAAACCTGTACAGTTTGTGGTAGCAAGGAGAGGGAAGCAACCTGGATGTCCACTATTAGGGTCACGAATAAGTAAAACGCTTGCATACAGTGGACTGCCATGCAGCAATTATAATAAATTAGTTATAGCTTCAGATAACATGAATACATCTCAAAGTCACAGTATTTAAGTCTAATGTGTAATAAATAAAATGATATTTTTAGCACAGTGGCATTTGTATACACTAAAAGCACACGTACACACCACCACCATGAATTTTTCAAGGATATACATATTTCTACACGGAAAAATGGACAGTGAACTGAAGGGATAGATATTAAATCCACTAGGATGGGTACCTGGGAGGGTGGAAGACGAGGGATAAAGAGAATAAAAATAACATGACATAAAATAGAAAAAAAATGTCTGTGGACTACTGCGTCACTAACTGAGGTATAGGATAAACTCAGCTTTCGGCAGCTGAGGTGCCATCTATGGAAGCAGAAATTGCACTTCTGCTCGAATTTATTCTGCGACAATAATTAGTCTCTGTTGACCTTCTCCTTTTCAAAAAACTGAAGTAAAACATATTTCACAATCAAAAATCATAAACGTAAGGTCTAATGATTTTTCACACAGTGGACATACTCATGTAATCACCTCCCAGATCAAGAAATAGAACATTTTCAACTCCGAGAAGTCCTTTGAGTCCCTACCAAGCCATCACTGGCCCTCATCAAAGGTCACCACTATTCTGATTTCCCACACCATAGATTAGCTTTATCTGTTTTGACCTTCCTCTAAATGGAATCATGCAGTACATAGGCTTTTGTGTCTGCTTCTTTCATTCTCTGTTTGTGAGATTAACCCCTGTTTTTGCAAGGGATAGTATGATATATGAATGTATAAACACATTCTATTATTGACGAACTTTAAGTTGCTCTCAGTTTTTGATTATTATGGATAAGGCTGCTATGAAGAGTCTTGTCCATGACTTTTTGGACAACTGCATGCTTTTCTCTCGGAGAAGAGGAGTACCAAGGAGAGGAATAGTTGGGTCACAAGATCTGTATGTGATCAGCTTTACTAGATACTGCCAACCAGTTTTCCAAAGCGACTGTATCAATTTTTATTTCCACCAGCAGTATATGAGAGCTTTACTGGCTCCACATCCTTGCCAACACTGGGAATTGCCAGTCTTTTTAATTTTAGCCATTCTAGTGGGCATCTTATCCTCACTATTTTTTGCTTAAATCAGCTTCTGGATTTCATTTCTTCTTATTTATTTACTTGTTTTTTAAAGATTGGCACGCGTTAATGTTAATCTGTTCCCCAACATTTTTTTCTTTCCTGCTTCTTCTCCCCCCAAACCCCCAGTACATGGTTGTATATCCTAGTTGTGAGTGCCTCTGGTTGTGCTATGTGGGATGCTGCCTCAGCATGGCTTGATGAGCAGTGCCATGTCCACACCCAGGATTGGAACTGGTAAAACCCTGGGCCACTGAAGTAGTGCACGCGAACTTAACCACCGGGCCATGGGGCCAGCCCCTGGATTTTGTTTCTTTTCAAATCCAGATTAGATTTCACAGTCTAACACTGCCATCACTTCCTTAATAGTCCCAAACCCCAGTGTCATCTTGTTGTACTTATTGGTCAACATCCCAAGTAGGGATCAATCGTTCTGCTTTCTCTGCCTTACACATGACCTACTGGTTACTGCTGGAGGGAATTGTGCAACAGCACAGATTAGTCCTTCCATGAATTGAGGGCTAGGCTTAAGAGAGCTCTCTCTCCACCCCACTGCTACTCTCCCAGTCCAGATCATCTTGATCTCTTACACATTGCTGCAACAGCTACCCGAGCAGTCTCCTGGATCTTCTTTAATCTTTTCTCTAGAAGGATCTTTGCAAAACACAAAGTCGATCACATTATTCCTTGAATTACTCTTTAATGCCTCCCGCAGTCTTCAGGATATAGTAAAATTCATTTCAGATCTCATCTTTGACACTCTCTAAGCTGCCTCCCCTACACACCCTTGACAGTTTCTAAACTGTCAGTTTTCAAAAAACTGAAGTAAAACGTATTCCTCAATATGTTTTTCTCAATATCTTTTTACTTGGTTCACACATCTAATGAAACCAAAGTTTTTTAAAACAAGATTTCACCTTTTTACAGTGATACACTCTGGTATTTTCCATTCTGTTTTATTCTATCTCATTTTGCATGAAATATTGACCATGAGCAACACAACCGGTTTCATAACTGACTGATGGGTTGCAACTAGCACTTTGTAAAACATATTAGCTCTATTGTAGATCTTTCAGTTTCTGTAAAACCCTCCATTTCTCTTCTCCAGGAGCCTCTGCCACACACCTCCGACTCAGGAAGCCTTTGCCAATCACTCCTCCTTTGTACTCCAATTGTGTCCTCACTCTGTAATCTGTTTACTTACTTACATTTTCCAATGCACCGTAAGATTCTTGAAGACAAAGGATAAGATTTTCTTGACCACCTTCATAAGTAATGCCTGGCACATAGCAGGCACTCAATAGATATTTGTTGAATAAAGAAATGATGTATACACACACGTTTATTATAGCATTGTTTTACACACACACATATATGTCAATATTTATCCTTCTAATACAATATCAGAAACAGATTAACTAGCCAACTTTTAGGCATTTAAGAATATAGAATATTGTTGTGATACAATGTAGAGAATGACTTAGATGAATATTTATTGCTCTGAAACAATGTCATTGGTCTATTGGGAAGATTAAATGAAATAGAGCAGTTAAAGTGCTCTTGGCACATGGAAGTACTCATCCAATATTCAACAGCCACTTTTGTTATGAATTAATGAGATGTGTTCATAAGAGACAGATAATAGGAAAACAGAAAAGTTGGCAGCAAGGAAAGAAAGACAGCTCCAAGGGTCCAGAAAATGAAAGGGAAGGAAGGAGAGTTAACACTTCTGGAAGGTGTCTTTGTGATTTTAGCTCCACACTCCCATTTTACGGATGGAAAAATGAAGTCCAGAAGCATAAGGGCTCATCTTTAGATACATATGTGGAACCCAGGTCATGATCTCCAGCCTGAGACTCTTACAAACACCAAACAGAAAGGGTGCCCGTGAACATATCTTTCAAACAAAAATCATTCTGCCTGTGAGAACTGAGAGGAACCTCCTGGGAAGACCTTGTAGGAACTTGACCTTTATTCAGACACACAGATTTGCAGGCTCCAGTGCATTGATATGCCATATTACCTGATTCTCAGATGGAATGCAATGCAATTATTTTGATTTAAGCTTTCTTAGTCATAATCACACTGGAGACCTGTCTTCTTGAGGTCACCTTGACTGTATTTTGCAAGCTCTTTTAATCGCCTATATACTGACTTGTTTGGGGACCATGTTATTGATGACTCATCTCATCTTTTACAATTTGATCCTTCCTAATTTCAATCCGAAAGGGTTCTTATTCTTAATTTCAATTTGGAATTACTTTGCTGATGCCCCATTTATAATATAAACACTATAGTATAATATCACCAGTGTTGTTTTTAAACGAAGCTTGATGAATGGCAAAGATTATATCATTCTATCAACACATGCTTATTAAACATTTATATTGCTGAGCCTAGAAATGTAATTAGACCCACCAGCATAATGTGTGAAATATTTGGGTTGGTTTTTTTAGTTTAGCTTTTTTTTTTCTTAACTACGACAGGACCTAAAAGTCTAGTTTACATAACTTTTAAAATTCAGTCTGCAACTGACAGGAAAGCAACACCATTCAGAAAATGTAGACAAGTTAAAAATCAGCTTTAAAAATTATTTCAGATCTGATTATTTTCATTTTATTAAAGTAATATAATGGCAGGAAATAGTAGTCATATAATAGGGATAATGTCAAATGCAATAATAATTTCATGTAAGCAGATACACGCAGTACAGACTCTGTCTGAGGACACCTTCTCTTGCTGCTCAGAATCCAGGACTGGCTTATTTCAGTCTCTCTCCGATTTTCCTCCCTTTCTTTGTTCTCCTCTCACTCCTTTGTCTCAATGCTTCACCCACATTAATT